ACCAAAATGTGCTCTGGGGAGCGCAGATAGAGCAAGAATCAAAATACTATGCTCATTGTTACTGAACTTGGTTGGCTACCAAACGGTGGGATAATCTGGTTATTGGACGATAAGAAGCCAGACTGCGTTGGCCCACTTATTGTGGGGCCTCAATACCAAAGACAACGGTTACTAAGTTCCCTGTCTGTTATGTCTGGTTTTGGCGGTCAGGGGGCAGTGCGCCTAATATATGTGTGAGACATGGGCAGGATGCGTGCTCGGCCAATATGCCCAAAAGCCTTTTCAGTCACACTAAGCCAGTCTACTGCTGAAAGGCAAGCGCAATTGTTAAGGGCAAAAGGAATACTTTGTAGTCATATTTCTAGTAATAAGTTTGCCAGAGCATATTTTTCCTGAGACGTGGGATAACTCAGTACTTAGAAAATTTGAAAGCACAAACACCCAACAGACATCAAAATATCAGTCGTAAATGTACTTCGACGACCAGACACTCCCCTAAGCTCTCTGGGAGTTTGGGTCTTGGCTTGTAGGAGTACGACAGGAATTGAGAAACTGGTTCCGTTAAGGTTCTCCAGTTTACAGTTAGACAATGTTGGCAACACTGGGAAGTGGTACCAACAGTGTGTTCGCTTTAGGAAATGGTTATGGACATCGTTTACGTATTCCCCGCCCAGCTGGCGAAGAAAATAAAAACACTCTTCACCCCATGTACTACAGGTGGCACTGCACTAAATTTAAGGAAGAGCACCTATTCCCGTGTCCTAACCTCAGCACTAACCTAAACCATAACCGTAGACCTAACCTCAGTCTCTATTTACCCAAACTATAACTCATCTAAACCGGCCATACAACGAGCCTGTGGTGAACTGAGTTAGAGCGTTGGACGGCTAAGGAACAGGTTGTGGGTTCGAGCCTGAGGCGGTGCAACACCGGGGGTTGGGTATAGCTGGCTGATGCCAGCTAATGAGCCAGAAATGGTCATTCCAGTCTCCCTTGTCTTTTCCGGTTACGTGCACCTGTCTACATCACTAGCCGCCGTATGGCCGCGGACGGGGCTCAAGAGTGGACCCCAAGGCAGAACGGGACGATTGAGTAACGTAACAAAGCGGTGAGCCTTCATAAACCGACATTAAAACAAATCCCAAACTTACCCGGTCCTAATTTCCTAGGAATCTAACGCAAGGTCACCTGTACTGCCGACATACCTATTCCCCTGTCCTGGGGGGGGGCATATAAACTATTCGTACCCAAATGGTATCTGGTGGTGGAGTTTTTTTTCTCCCCCTCAAGACACGAAGAAATAACGGTGGTTAAGGTGTCCGTGCTGCTTGTACATCATCATTCGACAACTTTTGGTTTACAAGTCTACTTACAGGCTCCGGTCGAGCGTTCGGTTGAATATCATCCGTATCCATGGCGTCCCGGGGCGCTGGAACGTCTGTGCGGGAGCTGGTTATAAAACTGGACTTTGTCTGAGATCGGGTGGCACCGCCGTCGGATGATTCACAATCCTCTTTCATACTGCAGGGAAAAGCAAATGTTCAGTTATGTAGAGCAAAATTGCATTATCACCAGAAAAGAAATGCTAGAAAAAGAATGTATAAGTCCTGTTTGATGTTGGATTTAGACGACTGAGTTAAACTCTTTTTCGGATGACTGCGCGCAACAGCGCCATGAGCACAAACGTCGTCGTCGTCGTCGTCGAAGGAACTGCATCCTCGTTATAAAGACAAATGTGCTAAGATCTACCTGAGAGAACTCCGTGCATGATGAAGTTAAGGAGGGACGTAAGTTGCCATGAGGACCATTTGCTAAAAGCCGAATGTTATGTACACCAGACTACAGCTACGTCCTACTTCTATCAGGCCTGATCAAGCCGGTCAAATAAAAGCAGATGGGAGGAAACCAGTCCGCTTACCATTTGGTCTCAATTTCTGGCAACAGGTGTCCTGCAATAATCTGGCACTTAAGCACGCAAAGGCGCATAATTTGCAGGAGCAGACGACGAGCTGCGGCAGTACTTATCTGACGTTGAGACCACTTAGAGGAGGCTGCAACAGCGCCTCCGGTGGTGCTGTCCGGAGCCCAGGTGGCAGTACTGGCAACGGCTCGCTGGCGAATACATTCCACCAGATTGAGCAACAGTTTGAGGCTCATCTGTTGGATGGAGAAGGGTAGACTGTCGTCGAACATGTTTCGTCCGTACAGATCGATGGCGCGGGCAATCTTGGTGAGGCTCAACTCTGAGCGCAGGTGATGCGTCAGATCCGCAAGAGTGCTATAGGCTAGGGGTCTTAAAGGGCACAAAAATAATAACTGACATCAAGTCGCGGCGTTGCATAAAGTAAAGAACAGAAAATTGACGGCTCGCGCGAGACTTACCGAAGTGCATCATGTACTGTGTAGCCCTGGCCAATCAAAATGTCCTCCCTCATCAGATCATCAAGTACTGGTAAAAACCCTAGAAAAGTAATACGAGGGTCATCAGTGGGAGTAGACTGTGAACAGATCAAGATCCAGAGCATAGAATCCGGGCCACCACCCCAAGTGTTTTAACGTTTGACCTATAATTAAGGGGTAAAGTGCCTGGTGTGCTGTCGACCGAAGAGCCCACGAGGCTGAAGAAGCTATAAAATACAGATACGTTGTCAAGTTTGTCTCAAAGCCGAACTCTGGAAAAATCGATCATTGTCACTTACGCTCCCGACGACCAGCGAGCGTGAGAGCAAAAACAAG